GAGATGCAGTGCTGACTTGGGCCAGCAGCAGTGCCTGATGAAGCCACCCCGTGGTCCACTCCAGGTCAGCCTGAGGACCAGCAGTCAGACACGAGGGCTGGCCTGCCTAGGCCAGCTCAGCCCAGCCAGCATCTCCTCTCGGTTCTTTCTGCTCAGCCATTCATCACTCTGACCAAACATTTCTTGACAAAGGACTAGGCAATGCCTTCGATCCTGCTAAAAGGCAGCCACCCCGGCAGCCTGTGTCCACTCAGCATCAGCCCCAGACCCCACCTGAATTCCTGGACAGAGCCTCTGGCTTCCTAGGCTGTGCCTGGTACCAAGAAAAAACAAAAACACAATGCCCAGGTGCGATCTGAATCCTCAGCCTGGCACCCAAAGGTGGGAGAGAAATGAGTGAGGGTCCAGAGCCAGCACCACACTCACTGCTCATCAGCTGGGCCAGGGTCAGGGCAAAGAGCTCACTTCACTGAGCTTCAGTTCCCTCAGCTACAAAATGGGTGTCATAATTCCTATGGCTGAGGGTCCTCAGGAAAATTGAATTCTGGTCCCTGGACCATGACAAGTTCAAAATCTGAGTCATTTTGTCTCTCATCAGTCCTCTGTGTACAGGGGTTTTCACTCCCCTCCCTGATATGGCCTGTGAGCACAGGGTTCAGAGACTGCCAGTGCCCCTCCCCACCCCCCACCCCCAGGCCTGGCCACAGGGCAGGGGAAGGGCAGCTGCTTCCTTCCTCTAGCAGACCTCTTGGAGGAGAGAGGAACCTAGACCACTTCCATTTTTTGAAGTTCCTGGTATATTAAAAATGACGAAAGTTACAGTAACTGTGTAAACAGCAAAAAATATGACGCAATATACAGTGGTGGCAAAACTAGGTTTACAGTTGTTTATATGAAAAATAAATAATACAAGAATAAATCTATATATATAAAAGCCTAAGTGACCGTTCCACCTTTCCATCAATAGCTATGATGTATACTGACCACCAGGGGAGACGCTCAATGCACAGGCATGGAAACATGGAACAGTCTGATAGATCTCATAGGGAAGGGGGGGAGAAAGGAGGGCAGGAAGAGATTAATCAAAGATCTTGTATGGAACCAGAGGATGGTCCCTCAGCCTGGCCTGCGGGGACCTGGCTGAAACCGGCAGTCCGACATCCCCCGAGGAGGAGGAAAAGAAGGAGGAGGAGGAGGAGCAGGAGGAGGAGGAAGGGGGGAAGAGTGAAACTCTGGAAAACCCTTTGAGGTTTCCAAAGTTGCCCAGGGAGCCCAGCTTGGCCTCTGATCCCTGGGGCCCCCAAGAGCTATACGGTGTGCTTTACACAGAGGTCACCCTCTGCATGGCCCTCGGGAGGTCACCACTGCCCAAAGGAGGCAGACAGACTCCGGAAGGAAGGAAGCCCTTGCCAGGACTGGAGCTGGGAGGCTGGCGCCTGGGCCCACGGGAGCTATGCAGAGAAGCCGGGTTTCAGCTAGAGACCTGGGATTTCTTAGGAGCTGGGAGTTTGGAGCAGAGCAGGGGCAACTTGTGTGTAGTGGAGTCAGAGAAATGGCCTCATGGAGAGAAGGGCTTGTAGGCCAGCAGGGGCCCGATTCAGACCTCCCCAGATAGCCTTCACAAGATCTGACAAGAACCACCAGTGCTTTTATTTACTTAAGAACTTAAATTGACTTACATTTTACACTTAAAAGTTTTAAAAGGTAGTTTTGCCCTAGCCGGCTTGGCTCAGTGAATAGAGCATCGGCCCATGGCTCCTGATTACATTTCGGTCAAGGGCACATGCCCAGGCTGCTGGCTGGATTCCCAGTAGGGGCATGCAGGAGGCAGCAGATCCATGATTCTCTCTCATCATTGATGTTTCTATCTCTCTCTTCCTCTCTGAAATCTATAAAAATATATACATATCTTTTTTAAAAGGTAGTTTTGTCCAAAGTGTTGGCATGGATGTGGCATGGATGTGAAACCATTGTGTTCTTTTGGTGGGGATGTAAAATGATAAGGTGGTTCCTCAAAAAAATAAACATAGAATTACCACATGCTCTAGCATTCCCACTTCAAGGTATTTATGCAAAACATTTAAATCGGTATCTCAGAGAGATATTTGAACAACCATGTTGATAGCATCCACAATAGCCAAAAGGTGGAAGCAAGCCAAATGTCCTCTGATAGATGGGTAAACAAAACATGGTCTATACATTCAACAAAATATACTCATCCTTAAAAAGAAGAAAGAAAATCTTACATGCCACAACATGGATGAACCTGGGGACATTATCCTAAGTGAAATGAGCTGGTTACAAAGGGACAAATACTGTGTGATTCCACTTGTATGAGGTACCTGGAGTAGTGAAATTCACAGAAGCAAAAAACAGAATGGGGTGCTGAGACAGGGGTAGGAAGTTGTTTGTGGTTATGGAGTATTTGTTTCACAAGATGGAAAGAGTTCTGGGTGGATGGTAGTGATGGCTGCACAGCAATGTGAATGTATTTAATGCCACTGAACTGTTCCCTTACAAAATGGTGACGATGGTAAATTTTATGTTTTGTGTCTTTTACCACAATTTTTATTTGTGTGTTTTTTCCTTTTTATTGACTCTATTGGGGTGACACTGGTTAACAAAATTATACAGGTTTCAGGTGCACAATTCCACAGCAGTCACCACAATTTTTAAAAGGTATTTTTGTATCACTACCATAAATGTAAAACCTCTTGACCTAAAGACAAGGTCTCCTTAAAACAAAGGTACTTACACTTCCAAATGCAGGTGCTGTGGACATCGCCCTAGAAGGCCTCGGTGCTGTGCTGGCTAAGGCTGTGCATGGAGACCTCGTCACACTTTGCTCAACAGAAAGATGAGTGAGTGCCAGAGAAGTGTTAAAAGTGTTTCTTTTTTTGTAAGTTCTTTAAAAAAAAAAAAAATATATATATATATATATATATATATATATATATATATATATATTATGTTTTACAGAGAGGAAGGGAGATGGACAGAGTCAGATACATCGATGAGAGAGAAACATTGATCAGCTGCCTCCTGCACACCTCCCACTGGGGATGTGCCCACAACCAAGGTACATGCCCTTGACTGAAATCGAACCTGGACCCTTCAGACCACAGGCTGATGCTCTATCCACTGAGCCAAACCAGCTAGGGCTAAAAGTGTTTCTGAATCCACTTTCTCCTTGACAAGTTCAGGAGGGCCCAAAGAGCGCTTTAGAGGGACTTGCCTTCTCCCCACAGGGGACCTCCATAATCATTTCTCATTCCAGGAGGCATGATGTTCCCCACACTTTGATAGACTCTTGTAAGGACAAGGGAGGAGGGGCAAGAGGTGTCAGACAGGAGCAGCCAGAACAGGCCAAGTGGAAGCAGCAGAGCAAGAAGACCCGCACCCAAAAGAGCCCCATGTGCAGGCCCTAGGGCCCCAGGCTGCCTGGGCAGGAATTCCAGCTCTCAGGGTCTGAGCAGAGGTGCCTTGGTCCCCAGGACTCCTAGCCCTGTGGGAGGGGCCCAGCGCAGAGCCTTCTTTAAGTGCGGGGCTCAGGGAAGGACCTGGCTCATTTGGTCGAGAGAGTGTACTTCCTGGAGGCAGGTAAATAAAATCCAGTCTCAAAAAAGCCAGGATATAGACTAGATGGATGGTGATGGTGGGGGTGGAGGTGAGAGGATGGAGGGGAAAACAATTGTGGAGAGAAATTGTGAAGGATGTCGCTAAGACATCGTGGAGGTCTTATGTTTTAACTGTGTTGCATCCATATCCCTTTCCAGGAAACAGCACCTGTTTTCCTTTGGGAAAACTCGGGAATTCTCAGTCCGTTTGGATGACCAAGGCTGGCTCCACCCCTTCTCACTGCAGGAGGCAGGGATACAGGCCTGGCCACCTCTGAGCAATGAGGACTCTGCCCAACATCCTAATAACTCCTCACTTCAGCAGCCTGGAACCGTCCTCCCCTCCGTCTATGGTTTGGAAGGGGCAGAGTTCACAGGACAGGAAATGTGGGGGTGTAGATGGAGGAGTGGGTGTGGGGTGTAGAGATGCTCACCACCATCCCTCCTTGTCCAAGGCCTTGGGCTGTCTCCACTAGTTTGCAGAGGTCCTTCCTAACCACTCAGGTGTCCTCACAGGTCCAGGCTGGTGGGCTCCCGATGCTCTTCATTTATTTATGTAAATATATTTCAGGGAGGAAGGGAGAGGGAAAGAGACACATCAATGAAGAGAGAGCATCATCGATTGGTTGCCTCCTGTTCGCCCCCCCCCCCCACGCCTGGAATGGAGCTGTAACCCCGGCACGTGCTCGCCTTCAGGCTCTGGGCCGCGGCTGGGCGAACCCCTAGACTCTCACTTACAGACAGCGGCCCTGCCCCATGCTGTCACTTCCTGGACTTGAGGTTGGAATCTCTGACGATTTCACGATAAAGCTCCAGCTTTTTCTCTCCTGTTTGCGTCTCAAACTTACCCACAGGCTCCTGGGAGCCCCAGGCTGCAGGCCTGCGCCCGTGTCCACGCTCCCGTCCAGCGGGACGGACAGACCGGGCCCGGGCGGCCCCCGAGTGACCCGCCGGCCGCGTGCGGGAGAGCGGGAGCGCGGGCCGGCGCGCAGGCGCGCAGGCGCGAGGCGGGCGGGGCGGGGCCGCGGGGCGGCGCGCGCGGCGCGGGGAGCGCGGTCTGTTCCGCGGACTTTCCTCAGGCGCGTCCCCTCCCGCGTCCTTGACAGGTGCCCCGCTCCGCGGCCCGGCCGCAGGGGATGGCGGGCGCTTGCCCGCCCCGGCCCGGAGCGGCCCCGAGGGGACGGCCGCGCGCCCGCTGACCCGCGTCCTCCTCGAGGCCCGGGCGCGTCCCCGCGGCGGGGGAGGGGCGGCGGCGCCGGGAAGCCGGCCGTGCCCTGTGTCCGGCGCTCGGCCGCGCGCGGCAGCGCCCGCCCCGCCCCTCGGCGCCGGCGGCCGGGGAGCCAGGCCCGCGGCGGCGGCGGCGGCGGCGGCGGCGGCCGGACGATGGGCGGCGCGGCGCGGGCGGGCCGGGCCCGGCTCGCGGCGCTCGCGCTGCTGGCCTGCGGGCTGTGGCCGGCGCGGGCGGACAACGCGAGCCAGGAGTACTACACGGCGCTCATCAACGTGACGGTGGCGGAGCCGGGCCGCGGCGCGCCGCTCACCTTCCGCATCGACCGCGGCCGCTACGGGCTCGACTCGCCCAAGGCCGAGGTGCGCGGCCAGGTGCTGGCGCCGCTGCCCATCCACGGAGGTGAGGGCCGGCGCCGCGGCGGGTGGGCGGGGGCCCGGCGAGGTCTCGGGCGCGCGGCCCGGCCTGTCGCCCCGGGCGGGAGGCTCGGTCGGAGCGGCGGTTCCGTCCTCCGGAGCCGGGGAGCCCCCGGGGGTGCGGGACGCTGTTTACCGGGGCCGCGCGGACAAAGGCGGCGGAGGGCGCAGACCAGCCGGGCGGCTGCACCTGCGGGCCCGCCGCCCGCCGCCCGCCGCGGGAACGTGCGGTTTCTCCGGCGGCGAGGGGAGGCGGAGGGGATGGAGGAGGGAAAGGGACGCTTTCCTGTTGCTCTAGCTCTTGTTCTGCCCCCGGAGTGTGACTTCATTTGACGCCTAAAATCTCCGGTGGGGAGAATCTGATAGCCAGGGTTCAGGTGACGGGCTGGCCAAAGGGGAAAGAGCGTTTTCCAGAATTGTCCTGGAAGCCATTGAGCGCATCCTCTCCTGAGCACAAACCTGGGCCCCGTGTAATTATTTGGTGTGAAACACGTGTCTGTAGAAAGAAATCACTGGTCATTTCCCCTCTGGGGAGTATGATTCTTTGTTGTTGTCTTGGCCCACTGTAAACTTTTTGGAAAATGTCTGCTATCTTCCCCACCCCCGCTGTCACTCTGAGAATGCTGAGTGGGTTTTTTGTGTATTTTTGTGTGTGTTTTGTGTGTGTGTGTGTGTGTGTGTGTGTGTGTGTGTGTGTGTGTGTTTAAAGCTGCTCTTCATGTTAAGGTGACCTACACTAGACAACCTCTGTAAAGTAACGGTGTGTGTTTTATGCTCTAACGTGAGGTCTCTGTCTGGATGCCAGTGCTCGGTTGTTTTCCTCTTTGAGGCAGTCTGGCTGAGGAAGAGACAGTCACCTCGGGATTTCATTGCAGGCTGGCCCCATTGAGACCGGCCTTTCAAATGCCCACTTTGATACCAATAACCAGCGCTTGAGGTGCCTTTCTCATCTCCGCTTTGTTAAGACGGCCCCAGTTGGCCCATGGAAACAGCCTGGGCTTTGATTCATTCTGTCAATATTTGCGTGCCTTGTCTGTGCCAGTCACTGTGGTTGGGACACACAATATTGCCACACTGTGGCTCTGACAATGGCTGCCTATTTTCTGATGTGGAGGAAAACCGTGAGTCACGTGGAAGGTAGGAAGAGGAAGCGAGGCCAGCTAGCTAGCTCTTCTGGAGCAAGAGCTGGCCGGGACAGTGTTTTGAAACCTGTGGTTTGTCTTTGGGTTTGGTTCCCCAGGCCCCCAAGCCTGTGACCATCACTCCCAGTGCTAACCTACTTGTTGCTTGCCTGTCACCCCAGACAAAAGCCGCATCTTTGAGAAGGCTTGTTCAGAGTGTTTGGATAGAGGGGCACTGATGGGTGGATGAAGGTTATTTATTCCCCTGTCACTGGGGAGGCAGCTATGCAGGATTAAACGTTGTGTCATGCTGTAGGCAGATTGTGTGACACCAGGACAGTAATCTGGCCCCTGCACCTCAGTTTCATCTGCAAAATGGAATGATGACATACCTCCTAAGGTTGGTGAGAGGCTTAAACGATTCCTGCGTTTTGTTTTGTTTTTGTTTGTTTGTTTTTTGAGGTCGGGTTTTGTCATTTTTTTATCTTAGGTATTTTTTTTTATATATCTTATTGATTTTTTTACAGAGAGGAAGGGAGAGGGATAGATAGAAACATCGATCAGCTGTCTCTTGCACACACCCCACTGGGGATGTGCCCACCAAGGTACATGCTCCTGACTGGAATCCAACCTGGGACCTTTCAGTACACAGGCCGACCCTCTATCCACTGAGCCAAACCGGTTTCGGCCGGTTCCTGCGTTTTTAAAAGAGGGATCTTGTTAACCTAAATGAATCTCTGAATTGGTGGGGTTTTAGCCACTGCATCAAAGTGAATACATTGGAGCAGTGTGTAAAGACTGGGTGTGGGATTAGTTCGCCTGAGTGTCTTTCTGTTCTCTCCTCCTTTCTCCAGGGGCTTGCTTTGAAATTTTTGTTGTTGTTCATCCACACTGAGGATATTTATTCCGTTGATCTTTAGAGAGAGTGAAAGGGAAGAAGAGAGAAGAGAGAGATACATTGATTGGTTGCCTCCCAATGCACCCCCACCGGGGCTATGAATCCAGCCTTCAACCAAGGTATGTGCTATTGACCGGAATAGAACCCAGGAACCTTCAATTTGAGGGCCAATGTTCTAACCAACCAGCAAACTGGCTAGGGTGCTAGGGGCTTATTTTGTATTTGCACATGAGTTTACTCCAGGTTTTCTCATGGTGTTGGTGGGATCCTACAGGTAGTTTGTGCTAAGGGGTCTACACACGTAAGTTCTGTCAGTCCAGCTAATATGAATTGAAATCCTCCTGCATTGAAATCCTGCATGCCATGCACTATTTATAAGATATCGGGGATGAGGAAGGGGCAGAAGCCATGAACAAAACAGATAAATATCTCTTCCCTTCCTGAAGTTCCCATTCTAGTTGCTGTCTCTGTAAGTCAATTTTCTCATAAATTGTTTCTAAACCTATGGGTTGACATGAAATCCAAGATACTCTGCTGTGTTTACAGCAGGAACTTAGGAATGTACTGTAAAAACAAGAATGGTGGAAATCTGTTAAAATGTTTCATGTTTAAGAAAATGACATGTCTGTTGGCAATTTTTGAAAATGGCTTAAAATTGGAATTATGTTTGGGTATTTCACATTATGATTTTTTGATTTAGTGAGTTTCACATTTTTATGTTTTTAGAAAAAATATTGCATTCTTTTTGACCTTCATACTTTTATAGTTTTGAAAAAAATTCTTAACATCTTCATTCAGGACAAAGGGATGTTCAAATTATAAAAATGAAAAGTTTGAAACAGTTCCTGGCAAAAATAAAACAGCTGTGCTCAATAGATGTGAAATTAATGAAAAGTCATTTTGAGGATAAATGGTAGAAATGAACATAAAGACAAAATAATTTTACAGTTTTCCTAGAGCTTAACATAACAATGACTCATTTTAAGTCTCTAACCTGGTTTGTGAAATTAGAAACCTTTCTTGTTATTTTTCATTACTACTAATACTATCAATTAAACATGTATAAATTACTGAACAAGATTTGTTTGTCCTATACTTTTGAAGAGCAGATTGGCAGTTTTTCCTTAGGTGCTGTGGTATTTTAAAAGTACATTTTGGCAAGTGTTGAAATTTATAAAATACATCATAAACACAACTGTATTTTGAAATATGTTTTTTTGTTGTTGTTCTTAAATAGAATGCATTTGTAAATGGAGATTCCTTTTTTTTTTTATACTAACAAATTGCATATTTTAACTGGTAAAGAATACATTTTTAGAAATGGACATGTGAAGGATTTTAGAAATGGGCATGTCTTGTTTTTATGTGATGATCACAGTTTCTTTTGGAAAGGGTGAGCTTGGAACCAGAACAATGGAAGCTAGCTAATGTTGTATCTCCTGGGGAGCAGACATTGTAAATGTGCTTTATGTGTGCACACACTGACGTTTTGTTTGGACCTAGAGTGGGGTTGTGAGAGGAGGGCCCTGTGTTGATGATGTCATTATGTATGCAGATGTGCTGGTGGGAAAAACTTGGTGTCAGCCACTTTTTGCTTTGCATAGAAATTTTCAGGATTGGATCTTGCAGTTCATTTTCAGGTGGATCTGAATGATGGTTGTTCTGTAGTTTGGTTGTAATTTTGATGAGGTTATGGGAGGAGGCGAGTACTGCTTTTACCTACGCGGTCATCTCTTGGCTGGAAGTCCCTAAAAAAGTCTTTTAAAACAGACCTGCTAGAATATAACTATTAAGGAGAGTAGTGTGTTGTGTTTTTCAAACTAATCACATATGTGTATATATGTGTATATTCACATATTATGCAGGAATGAAAACAAAAATGCAAAAACTTTAAGAATTTGCTTTGTAAGATTCTCTATGTGCAGTATAACAAATATTTGTCTTTTCTAGATTTGAATTTTGGCAGTTGACAGTTATTTTGAGGCAGTTATTTTCTCGGGTGCTTATAATCTCTCTTTAGCTGGTGCTCACAGAGGAGTGCAGTTCTGCATTAGTGGTATAAATGCAGAGTCCTCAGAGCTGGTTCTTTTAAGGGTAGCAGTCTTGACTTATAGAAAAAAAACTTAAGTTTTCAGGACGATCAACATTTGTTTGTTTCATCTTCCTTGGGGTATTTTATTTATTAGATAGTCATATTTTCTATACATTTTAGTAAGTATGGCTTTCTTTAGGGTTGGAGGCAATTTTGAATAAAAGGGAATCCTTCAGAGGTCAAATGAAATAAATTAAAATAATTAATATGTACCTACTCTGCTTGTGCTAATGCAAGTCCTGTTCTGTGTGCAAAAGACATGGTATGTGACTCCTGCCTGAGAGAACTCCATCCTTTTGCTGAGAACCTCAGCCCTGTCTGCATGGCACAATGAGGACATGCAGAAGATAGTGTGGCTGTTTTCATCCCACAGGGGGGTTTTGTCCTGAAGCAGGTTCTGCAAACTACATCAGAGGGCCAACCACCTGTTGTTTTAAATAGATTATCGTGGGGAGTGATGTCAGAGGAATGGCATAGTGAGAGATACCCCTTCGCCTCTCCCCCTGGAACTTTAACAAGTTAATCAACTATAGCTCAGCAAAGGATCCCCTGCTCTCACAGAGGCACTCCTGAGAGACCCAAGCATTGAAGCATCTAAAAGGGGCAAACAGGGCGGCGAGGAAAGTTCAGATGGCCACATACACAGCCCTGTAGCCGAAGGCTGGCGGTAGCAGGCGCTGCCTTCAGCTTGGCAGAATAGAGTCTCCGTGAGCATTCCAGCAGGGCAAGCTGTGAAAACCGTAGCTGAGTCAGCCAGGACACGTGGGCAAGGACACAGTGCAAGGATTCTTCCGTGTTGTCCATCTGTAGGTGTTCCAAAAAATGGAGCCACAGAGCCTTGCCATCCCTTAGACTCCCAAAGCTTGCTTCCTGTT